CCCCGCCGCGGTCCGCCCCGCGCCCCGCCCCGCTGCGCCACAGGATACACCGACACCCGCCTGCCGCCGCCCGGGTACTTGGGTCTTTGCTCTAATGGGTGCGGACGCCCCCGCCCCGCACCCCGCGGCCCTCCCGTCTCGCCGCGCATCTTTCTTTCTTCCTCCTGGACGACACGACGATACGTCACTTCTCCATTCCAACGAACTCCCCCCCCCCTCCCCCTCCGCCCCGCTGGAGTACAGTAGTACTGGACGCCGCGTCAACTGGACGTGCGCCGCGCGGCGGTGCGACTTTGTTTCCACAACACAGACGGTCAATAGCGAACCGGCGCGACTGCGCGCACACAACGTCTTTTTTGTCTTTCAAAATGCGGTAGTATTCCACCTCTCGATAGCTGCACGGGGAAGTGGTTTAGTCGCCACGCGAGTCGCAGGTGCTCCCCGAGCCCCTCTCCAGAGAAAAGTGGCAAATGGCAGAGGAAACCAAACTGTGGTGCCAAACAAAAGGGCGAGGAGCTTTTCTCAAAATTTCTGAGACAATCGAGCAATTGTTTACCTCTTGTTCCAACCTGGCCGGCCAGGCCCCACTGGAAAAAAGGATAACGCACGATCTGAATGAAACTGGAGTAACCAGTTTGCAGAAAAAAAATCACTGAAAGGAAATTTTTAACAACCTATGATACCACCTTAATGACTTTAAAAAAATACCTCCAGCCTGTGCCATTTTCATGAGCTTTTGATTAGAACGGTCGAGTCCGGTGGTCTAAACGCGCTAAACGTCTAGAGCGCAGGTCTTTTTGTAAACATGCCATACCCAGCAGTACGACAAGAAGAACGCCTGGAACGGGCGGCGTCCCACCGATTACAGAGATTTGGGGGGGGGGCGAGGATTTACGAGGGATAAGGGGAAAACCGGGGGAAACTTTCCATAGCCGACATCCACTTGTGGGCGCGTTGGGTTCCCTATCATAGGCAACTCTAAACACCCGGACCTGGATATCCGCTATCGATAATGTCCCTTCTTACCCGCAAAAACCCTCGTTTCTTTCCCTAAATGTGCCCAATCGACAGTCTAAATGCTCCACCTTTGTGCTCACCAACTCGGACGAGCAAACACCAGCTAGGAGACTTACATAATCTGAAGTAATTGTCTGCGCCTCTCCCACGCCTCTCCGCCGATTGGGTGGCGGGAAAAAACAACACACGCGAGAGACAGGTTATATGTTTCATTTTCAGTAATAACCGCTTTTGGTTGAAGGACTTTTAACTTTTAACTCTCATAAATTATTAACTATAATTACCGAGGGGGCAAGAACTCCGGGAATCATGTGTACACCTGCCTGGGAATCATCAGGATAAATATTAATCGAAAACATCATAAATGGCTTAAACTAAGCGGGAAACTAGTGAAACTGATACAAATTAGTAGAAATAGGCGTTCTCTACCCCTAGAAAACCTTAGGAATGGGTCCCCTCCTCACCTCTCACCCGTGCGCCCGCCGAGTCGAGGATAGGCAAACCTGCAACACGGCGGCGCGTACTCTGAATCACCCGGCACACATCAAAAGGGAGTTATTGACCCCTCGACAATTGCAAAAGTATACTGAAAATATTCTTTGAGCCTTCGTACACACAACAGTATACTCGTAAAGTTCTCTTTATGGACTCGTTTCCGAGATATTTGCTGTATTTGCTTTTAAAGTTAAGGCTGTGCTCCATGTTGCCTTATGGAAGCCCGCTGCGGCCGGCCCGTCGTTCTTTAAAAACTACTTTGTGAGGAGAAATGCGAGGATGTTGAAAAACTTATTAACAGATTCGTCTTTCAATTCTGCGTCGATAGCACACAAGGAAAATTGGTCCTAATGCTTAAATAAGAAAGATATTAACTAAAATGTGCAGCGCCGGCGCAGCGTGTATAACGGGCGTTCCCGTAAGGCCAATGCTTAACCACAAATGACTACCCTGACTTTCGGAGACTCGTGCACCTTCTAAATAAAATTTCCGACCCTAGGTGTTCGGTATCAAAATGATCAGCATATAGTCGAAGTCGTCTACAAATTCTTATGACAAAACATACGAAAACTTAGATTTCATTTTAAGCGTTGTGTCCGAAATGAGCTTAACACCACTTTAACCGATTAGTGACTGTGTGATCAGAAAGTAGAAATTCTTTGGGATCACATTATTTTCACCGACAAAACAAGTATTTTTTTTTCCCTCACTTCTCGAAACAAATTGAGTATGCATGGTGCAATCAAGTGACTTCTTTCGGTTTCTTCGGCAGGAACCAAACAAGAACGGGGCAAACTGGAAACAAAAACAAAGTACCCATGGCATTACCAATCAAGATCTCATTCAGAGCCTCATCCGAGAAAGTCACAAAGACGTCATAACCACGTCAAAGATTAGCAAAACTTTGAACGCCGTCGCGACAGTGACGCCCCTATAAAAAGTTTTTTTCAGCGAAGGAGAGGAAAAGGCGTCGGAAAGGGAGGCGGGTTGAGGGGGGGGGGGACTGCCACCGTATTTGAATTCCATTGTGGCTCCGCACCGAACGGCGGGGCGCAGAGTACCAGCTCACGACTCTACTCACGATATGCAATGAGTTTCTTATATGTTTCCGAAATAACTCAACAATGACGCGAACCGCTTCAGCGTACTCACTCCCCAGACCAACAGTGACGAAGACGAAGACGGCCTAGCGGGACAGTTGGAGAATCAGGGGGAGGATGATGTCTCCGCAGAGCGACCCCATGCCACCCGAGATGACCTGCATCATGGTCACGGCCGAGAGGGTAGCCACTCCGGGAATCATGTGTACACCTGTCTGGGAATCATCAGTGTAAAGATTAATCGAAATCAACGGAAATCGATTTAACCGATCGGGAAACTAGTGGAAACTGGTACAAATTAGTCGAAAGAAGCGTTTTCTACCACTAGAAAACATACGGAATCAATATAAGCGGACGGGAATCCCCGGGAATCAAGAATTTCGGGAATCATGTGTACACATAGAAAAGGTCGTTATTGCCCCCTCGGTCACGGCCAAGCTGCGGAGCGAGGTCGGGAACAGGTCCACGTCCGTGGCCGACAGCGCCGAAACCGCCGTCAGCCCGATGGCGGTGAGGGCCGTTAAGACGGACAGGAGGACGATGATGAAGATGTCCGAGTTGGGCGCCTAGAGCAGGCCGAGGGCCGCGACCAGCGCCAGCGGGAGGCTCGACCGACACGGCCAGCGAGGAGAGGAGGTGAGTCAGAGCCAGCCGGGCGCGGCTACCAGTGCGGGCCGCAGGCACGATGGGCGGCCTACCCGCCAGGCGCGGACTCACGGCGAAAGCGGGCCTTGGGTGGGAGTTCCCTGGCTGGGACCCGACTTGACGAAAAGCGGGTGGAAACGGTTCCCTTTCCCTGGCACCTTGCTACCCTGCTGTGGTGCGTTTTGGTGTGTTAAGTAATCAATAACAGAGGGTTTTTCGAGTGATTGCACAAAATTCAAAGAAATTTCAGAAATAAAGTCGTGTAATTCGGGCGGCGGCGAGCGTTTGCCGTGGGGCAGTTTTTCTATACGAAGAAACATCGTAATAAAGCGAACTTTTACCTAACAAAAGTTCCTGAAGTACTAAAAATATTGTTGGTAACAATTTCCTGACTAAAATGAACCGTTATACACCATTTTGTTGTATTGATTTTTGTTCGTAAACTAAGTCATGACTAAGTCGTGAAAAGAGTTCAAGTCGACGAAGTTCATGATGCGCATGCGCGAATAACGCCATCTATTGACTAAAGAGCGAACTACAACGGAGTGCGCGCCGCAACCATGGTTCTCCTTCAGCTCCAATAGAGCGCAGCACAATTTGTGGCGGGTGTTCTGCTCTGTTTGAATACTTTGATAGTGATTTTGCACCAGATCTAAACTACACCATACCATACCAGGCCTTGGTAAAGAACGGTATTTCTCCATTATGTATCAAACTTTGATGCCAGATCAACAAAATCGGTCGTTGAGTTGTGCCCACAACTTTGAGGGCCACAGACAGGAACGTGGACGTGGACAGGAATGTGGGTGATGTAGAGTAGTCTTTTTCTGTGGCCGCTCCGCCAGCTTGGTAGGCAACCCATAGCTAATTTAAGGTATAAGGGGGATAAAGGACAATTGTTCTGTAGCAAATTTAAGCAAAACATAAGTATTTAAT